ACTAATAAGTGGCAGTGAAGAAGTCAAATGCAGGCTATTTCTTTCCAGCAAAACAAAGACAACTGTGACCACTTTTGTTGCAAAACTGTCCAGGAGGCCTGCTGAGCAAAGGAGGAACTGGTGGTTCATGGATAAGTCCTAGGATAAATAATGGATAAATTCAGGCTGTGGGTTCACTGTTGTGTTCCATACAATTAGCTATTAGTCCACGCTTCATGAAACTGGAACTTTCTAAAAATATTCATCTAAGGGAAAGAAGAAAAACAGAAGGGAAAATCCAAGGAACATGAGTCTAACCTCTTCCACACTTTCAATCCTCTTCCAGTCTTTAATTTATACATATAGTGTCTCTCGGGAGACCTAGATTCTAGGCCCAGCCTCACGCTTATAAGCATGTGACTATGAGCTAGTTCTTTCTCTCCCCTCCTAAGGCCTCTGGTTCCTTATCTGTAAATAGGGATAATAAAATCCCTGCTTACTTCCCAAAGACTGCTGGACTCATAAGGACTTCTGGAGATAATGGGATTAAAAATGTCAAAGCACCATCTGCATCTAGATAGTCTAGGTATTTCTTGCCTCCTGGGTGTCAGGGGATCGTGGCAGCAAAGGGGGTATTAGTGGGAGCCCTTGGGAAGCTTCCCTCTCTAGTACCCAGCTCCTTGGACCTGACTTCAGCAATCTCACCATCATCACAGGCTCAGTGCAGAGTCCTTTAATGATCTCAAAGCATTCTCACATTCCTGAGATGATTGATAAGAATAGCTAAGATTATGAATAGCTACTATATGCACCAAACACTATCTTGAATCATGAATTCTGGATGCTAAATGTTCTCCTTTCTTCTTTTATTTTTGTGTTCTATTTTTTAAAATTACACTATTTAATATAAAATTGACATGCTGGCATTGGTCTTTTGCCAAGGAGAATCATATAATAACAAGTTTATAAAACAGCATGAGAGTAACTGATGAAGTGTGAAGTTCAATGGGGGGAAAACACCTTTCTAATAACAAGGAGGGAAATCACCCTTTTCTGCTAGTAGGGGAATGTAGACATTATTACCCCCAATTTACAACTGAGAAAACTGAGGTTCAGAGAGGTGAAATGACTTGCTCAAAACCATACACCAATGAGGGGCATGAAGCTGATATTTGAGCCTAAATCTCACTGGATCCAAAGTCCATTTTATTGCAAACACATCACATTGCTTGCCTAGAGAATCCCTGACTGCTGATGACCTCATCAGACCACATCTACAACCACAAGACAGATGAAAGTTTGGGATCAAGCATAAAAGTAAAAATAACACTTAATTATCTAGTCTTCCTAGTACTTGGATGTTTGGAGAATGGGTTAGGGTGGTGATAGAGGTGCATGCCTGAGCAGGTGATAAAAATTAGACTGGGAGAGAAGTATTAAAATGGTTAATATGAATATTGCTAAGAAAAAATATTGACACTATAACATTCAGAGCACAAGTAAATATTAATTTACACAATAAACATTACTGGGTGCCTTATATATACTGGGAAGTCTTTGGGTGGAGGACAGGGTGGCTAATGGTTAATGCACTTGGCTGTTAACCAAAAATCTACCAGAGACACCTCAGAAGGGACATATGGTGATGGACTTCCAAAAAATCAGGCATTGAAAGCTCTATGAGGCACATTCCTACTCTGACACACATGGGGTCACCGTGCGTCAGAAGTGACTCCATACTAACAAGTAGTCATAATAGATGCCAGTGCTGAGGTTACAATGTTCAGATGTGGTTCCTGCCCCTTATATACACATGGCAAACTTGAGTTCATGGAATGTTTCTGTTAAATATTTTAGAATTAATATTTTAAAAAATAATGTAGAGATAAAGCCAATATGTGATATTTTGCAGACCTATGCAAGAAACAGACCAAGGGAGAAGGGAGAATCAGAGCTGGGCTGTGTTTACTTAATGAATTCATCGTGAAGTCTGTGTGCCTGATGGTGAAAGTCTTGCATAGCAACAGAACTTAAGGAAGTGGGAGCTGGGGGTGGTGATGAGGAGCCTTAAATCATCTATATATCTCTAGCCCAATGCTCCTTCTATTCTTGTCTTCCCAGCACCTAACATGATCAGAGACCCAGGGCCCTGGCCTAACTGAATAAAGTACAGCCATCTGGGCCTATCCTAGCTAAGCAGGCAACAACATCATCATACACTTTTCTCAAGCCTGAGAACCTTCTCCAATCAATTTTCCTCTTGCCAATATGGGACTCAGTAGGCAGCACCCTGTGTTGTGCAAACAATTAAGCACTTGACTACTAACAGAAAGGTGTTGTTGTTGTTATGTGCCTTCAAGTCAGGCTCGACTCATAGCAACCCCTCCTTGGGTTTCTGAGGCAGTATCACTGCAGAAGTAGATTGCCCAACCTTCCTTCCGAGGAGTGGCTGGTGGGTTTGAACTGCCAGGCTTCTGGTTAGCAGTCAAGTGCCTTAGACACTACTTTTAAAAGTAAAACTGTAACCTAACAATTTTACAGTGTCTTACAGTTTACAAAGCTATTATCTCATCAATTCAGATTTGATTCTCAGAATAACCTAAGAAATAAACAGTATTATCTCCATTGTACAGATGGGAGAACAAGGCTGACAACGCAATGGTTGTTGTTCCAGCGTGTACAGAGAACTAGGAAAGCACAGAGAAGGAGTATCCCACTGAGTACAACAGGGAGGGGCTTATCAGAGAAGGCTTCCTAAAGGTGGCCTATGAGTTGAGTAGGAAAACATAACTATCCACTAAATAAGTAGGGAAAGAGCACTCCAGGTAGATTTTGCAAAGGCTTGAAAGCAAAAGACTGGGAAAGGTTGCCAGGAGCAAGATGATGATGACAGCAGCAAACACCTATCCATTGCTTACTCTGTGTAGATGCTGTTAGAATAGATAGCGTTCTAAGAGGTTTATCTACATTAATTAATTCCCACACCTCACAAAACAGGGGCGGGGGTGGGGGGGTGGGGAGTGGCGACAGGAGCCTGACTAGGCTATTGGTCCAAAGAGAGCCTGAGTGAAAACAGTGAGAACAGAGAAGAGGATGTCACACCTGGTGCTTGTGGGTAAGAAATTGTCCCTTACACATTTTAGCTTCTTTTACCTGTAAAGGCAGAATAATGAAATTTCCACTACCTGCCTCAGGATTTGCTTGAAAATTAATGGAGCAGAGGCCCAGCTGGCTTCATATGCTAAACATCACCCTCCTACTATTGCTGGTGCTCATTAAATGCTGAATATATAAAATGTGCTTTGATGGAGGAGACGGAAATAATTATACCTTGCTAATTATTGTTAATTTTACCACAGCTTTGAAAGCCTGGACTTTCTCAATGATTCAAAAAGAGATTGCAATCCCACTGTCCCATTAAAGTAGCCACACAGTGGCAAACAAGCAATTTCTCGCAGGTTCCATTCTTTCATTATTTGAAGTTGTTCAGCTGCTGTACGGGGCCCAGAAAAAGACAAGCAATGATTTGTTCTTTTAGAATCAAATTGTTAAAAGAACTCATAATCTTGCTGGCTCTTTTAAAGAACCTACATTTATCCTTTCCTTATACTGAATAAATATATACATTAAAATTGTGCATGTGCGTGTGTGTGTGTGTGTGTGTAGAGGGGAAAAAAATGTGATTAACAGAAAACATAATACGCTGGACACCAGGACACCTAGGTTTTACTCCTGGTGGCACAGTAGTTAAAATGCTAGACTAATGGAAAGGTCAGCAGGTCAAACTCAAACACACCAGCCAATCCGCAGGAGAAAGATGTGGCAGTCTGCTTCCACAAAGATTTACAGTCTTAGAAACCCTATGGGGCAGTTCTACCCTGTCCTATAGTGGCACAGAGTCGGAATTGACTGGATGGCAGTGGATTTGGTGTATGGTGACAGAACTGCTTCTCTAACTTTTCTTCAGACTCTGCACCATTTTGTTCTCACATTTATTTAAATCAGCCAGGCAGGGCACCAAAGACTCATCCCAGGAAAAGGAGTAAATAAATTCACTTAATAGCTTTTCCCTTTGGGATGATCTTGGGTCTGTCTCTAAGCCTCAGCTGTTCACCTGTGAAATGAGTCTGCTCAGTAGTTCACACCTGTCTTGACTACAGTGAGGATGAGATGATGTTTATGAAATGCAAACTATATAAATGTTTGCTATGGGAACTGGGGAAAAAAGAGAGGAAGTGAAAGCACTTGAGGGGGCTGGGGATAAAACCAAAAACTAAACCCATTACTATGGACTCGGCTCAGGACGACCGCACGTGCTTCAGATTCCAACTGCTCGGTCGGGTTTTCTTTGCTCTAATCTTTATTGAAGCAGATCATTTGGGCCTTTCTTCGGTAGTGCAGCTGGGTGGGTTTGAATGTCAACCTCTCTCGGTTAGTAGCCTGAGCAAATTGTTGGCGCCACCCAGGGGCCTCTACTGGAGAAAGATTGGGAAAAGGAGAGAAAAAGTAAGGAAAAAGTCTGGGGGGGGGGGGCGGAGAGCAACTACTTCAAACTGTACTTTTCAAAGAAACTCTTGAGAATTCCTGCCCCAGAGGGCGGCCTAGAACCCCCAGGTCCACAGAGAGAGGCTGCGCCGAGGGCGGGTCCCTCCCCAGGTGGGGCCGGGCGGGCCAGGGGCGGGTCCACGCGGTCTGCCGGCGAGTATCGGTTTTCCTCTGCCTGGCTTTCGGTCCGGAGGAGGCCAGAGGGCGGGATCCCTCTCTCCTGATCCTATCGCGGGCGGCGCAGGGCCTGCTCAGCCTTCTGTGGGGACTGGAGGAGGCGGAGGAGAGGGCAGCAAGATGTGTCACCCAAATACCATCGCATGAGTCGGTTGCCGAACCAGCTGGGCAGGTCGGGCGGAGTATAAGAGAGGGAGGGAGCGGCCGGGCGGCAGACTCTAGGAGACTATACCAGACTGCGGAGCCCAAACCCCTCGCGTCCGGTCCAACTGCTTCCTTCCGCGCTCCTCGGTCCCATCATGGCCCGGGGTCAAGTCCTTGCACTGCCGGTGTTGCTGCTGCTTCTGGAGGCGGTGACCGGCAGCGAAGCCGCGCAGGACAACTGCACGTGCCCCACCAACAAGATGACCATGTGCAGCTGGGACAGCCAGAGCGGCCGCTGCCGGTGCAAGGCGATCGGCACAAATCACGAAGTCAACTGTTCCACGCTGACCTCCAAGTGCCTGCTGCTCAAGGCTCGCATGCAACGTCCCAAGGGCGGCCGCTCGCTGGTGCGGCCGAGCGAGCACGCGATCGTGGACAACGATGGCCTGTATGACCCCGACTGCGACCGGGAAGGCCGCTTCAAGGCCCGCCAGTGCAACCAGACGTCGGTGTGTTGGTGCGTGAACTCAGTGGGTGTACGCCGCACCGACAAGGGTGACCAGAACCTGCTTTGCGACGAGCTGGTGCGCACCCACCAAATCCTCATCGAATTGCGCCACCGCCCGGCCGCCCGCGCCTTCAACCACACGGACCTGGATGCCGAGCTGCGGCGGCTCTTCCGCGAACGCTACCTGCTGCACCCCAGGTTTCTGGCGGCTGTGCACTATGAGGAGCCCACTATACAGATTGAGCTGCAACAGAACGCGTCGCAGAAGGCCCCGGGCGACGTGGATATCGCCGACGCTGCCTACTACTTCGAGAGGGACATCAAGGGCGAGTCGCTGTTCTCTGGCCCTAGAAGCTTCGACGTGAGCGTGCGTGGCGAGCCCCTCCTGGTGGAGCGGACGCTCATATACTACCTGGACGAGAAGCCCCCCCAGTTCTCCATGAAGCGCCTGACGGCCGGCCTCATTGCTGTCATCGTGGTGGTCGTGGTGGCCCTCGTCGCTGGTGTGGCCGTCCTGGTGATTACCAACCGGAGGAAGTCGGGGAAGTACAAGAAGGTGGAGATCAAGGAACTGGGGGAATTGAATAAGGAACCGAGCTTGTAGGTACTGGGCGGGGCAGGGAGTGAGGTGGGGTACCTGCTTTCAGGATCGTCCCAGGGCAAAGTGAGTCACCTTGATCACTTCTTGATTTTTAGCCCTAAGGAGAGAGACATTTCTTCTTCCAAATCTCTCCCCCACCTCACCACCAGGTTTAATAAATCCTGATCCCAGGGTTACCTCTTTTTCTGACTTCTTGAAAGAAACACTTCTAAAATTCCTGCCTTTTCTGTCCAACAAGAAACCTGACTCTGGGAGTTAAAGAAATGATGGTGTTGGTTATGTATAAGAAGTAAGTGGAAGACAACCCAAGCATCGTTTGCAAGTAATGGAGTCGATTCTGAAGGTTTAAATGGGTTTAGATGGAAAATAAGACTTTTACTGTCTTGGGTTTAAGGTATTTAATTAGTTCCACTTTTGTCATGGCCTTCCTGACGGGAAGAAGGAGTTTGTTAATTGGGCCTATGTCGTAGCCTCATTTACCGTCATTTGTATTACCCACCACACATACTTGTCACCAGGAAAGAATCCTGTCTCAGCCGCCTGAACACAATTTAGATGTCTTTGAGGGCAGACTCTGCTCCACAGTCACGGTATCTATTCTTCACCTCACCCTCACTATAGCTAATATTAGTAATGTTTTCATTTGTAAAATGTTTGTATATATGTTGTCTTTGATAATGTTGCTGTGATTTTTTAAAAAACATGAATTTAATAAAATATGGAAAAGGTAAAACCAAAAGATTGAGTTTGTGAAAACTTGCCCCAGATTATACAATTTTGGTCTCCTTTGATTTCCCATGATTCAGATTTTTATTTCAAATTCTAACCCTTTTGCAGGAGTATGTATTTCATATTGCCATTCTGATTATTTTCTGAGATGTCCTTACTTCAAACTGCAGAAAGGTGGGTCAGATGCTAGAACAAGCTCCTGTGGTTGAGGAAAGGGCTAGCCTTTTATCTCTAAATAAGGATTCTCAGCAATGGAGAAATAAAACTCTATAGTTCCACAAGCTTTTATTTCCCTTGAATCCCAGCCCTACTCTGACGTAGATGATACTACTCCTATTTAGCTCTTGGGCAAATTGGTTAACCCCAAAGTATGGTACCTCTGAGAGACTACAAATCAGAATTGTCTTTCCCTAATAATCAGAGCCAGTCTGTAGTGGGTCCTGTGCTCTGGCTGTTTTCTTAAAATATTTTTAGGAAAATAGGTGCTTTAGGCTATTTTCCTAAAATATTTACCAGTAACGTGCTTTTAAAAACTTTTATTTCCAGTCAGCTGTAAAAACTAGCCATTTGTCCCCTTTATGTTTATCTCCTCCTTTTCACATATTTATTTATGTAAATCTCGGTGTGTTAATCTGGTAGCATAGTGCCTAAGGCACTTGACTGCTAACAGAAGGCTGGTGGTTCAAACCCACCAGCCACTCCTCAGAAGGAAGATGGGGCAATCTACTTCTGTAGTGATACCATCTCGGAAACCCAAGGAGGGGTCGCTATGAGTCGGGGCCACTTGACGGCACATAACAACAAAAACAACAACAGGTGTGTTAATAGCTCACCTGGCTGGGGAGCCCACAGGTAAACAAGTTACTGCAATTACTGGAAAACTAGTCCTGCAATAGGTTCCACAATAGGTGTGTACAAAGGAGGGAGTGGTTGGCATACCAAAGAACCAGTTGTCCTCAACATGGCAGCCTTGTGTGTCAGAGTAGAACTGTGCTCTGTAGTATTCTCAATGGCTGATCTTTTGCAAATAGGTCACCATATCTCTCTTCCAAGGCACCTCTGGGTGGACCCAAACGTGGTTGGCAACTTAATGCAGTAATAGTTTGCACTAGCATATCAAGGGCCCTGGGTAGCACAAGCAGTGTGCGATCAGCTGCTAACCAAAAGGTTGGTGGTTCAAACCCACCCAGCAGCTCTGTGGAAGAAAACGTGTGGTGATCTGCTTACATAAAGATTACAGGCAAGAAAACCCTATGGAGCAGTTCTACTCCTTAATACATGGGGTCACCGTGAGTCTGTATGGCGGCTGTATGGCAGCTAATAACAAAAATAGCAAAAGCTAGATCCAAGACTTCAATTTCGTTCTTGGAATCCATCTCATGACTCTCCTCCTACTCCTACTCTATGGTCTGTGCCTACCCCTGAAGGCTGTAACATCATGGGACAGGCAGCTAGCAACAAAAAGTGTTCAGTCACTGCCTCACTGCCTTAGCTTCACTGCTTGGAGCTGTCTGTGGCTGGTATGCATTTGTGAAATGGTACACAACATGGTTACAGTCATCTGAGATCTCACAGGCTTCAACCACTTAGGGAACAACTCCCTTCAGACCTCAGACCTCCCAGGCTCAGATGTGGGTTGGCTCTCCCTTGATGGAGAGGAGAGCAGAAGTGCTTGAATGGCCTCCTCAGGTGCTTATGGAGTGAAGTGCCTCAGCTAAAGGGACCTTGGTAATCAACTCTGACCTAACCCTTTATTGCACAGATGAAAGGGCGAGTGACTTCTCAAGATCAGGATTAATGTTTCAAAGGCACAGCGGGAACTAGAATGATTTTTGATTCCTACTCCAGTGTTCTTTTCACTACACCACACTGCCATTGTTTCAAGAATTACTTAAAAAAAAAAAACAAAAAAAAACGATCACTTGCCTGGCTAGAACATAAACATAGTCACTGAGGGTTAACTGTGCAGCTGACAAGGGTGGCTCCCTGAAAGAGCCATTCTTTACCATCAGATTGTCATTCCTGGATCACTAAAATTTCTGCATTATTTTCTGGTGGCATAGTGCCTAAGGCATTAGATTGCTAACCAGAAGGCTCAAACCCACCAGCCACTCCGTGGAAGGAAGTCTGGGCAATCTACTAATCTACAAAACTACTAATCTCTTCCACTATTGCAAAGATTACATCCCCCTCAGCCATCAAATTGATTCCAACCTCATAGAGAGAGACCCATTAGGGCAAAGTAGAACTGTCCCCATGGGGTTTCCAAGGCTGTAAATCTTTACAGAGGAAGCAGGCCCTCATTTTTCTCCCACAGACATGCTGATGGGGTTGAACTGATGACCTTTTAGTTAGCAGCCCAGTGTTTTAACCACTATACCACCAGAACTCCTAAAGACTAAATTATGTCATTGAACCTCTGAAGAACTGCTTCTGAAAAGTCACAGCTATGAAAACCCTATGGAAAGAAGTTATACTCTGCAACATGGGTCAACGTGAATTGTAATAATCTCAAAGGCAAATGGTTTATTATGCTATACTTCTGTATGTTTAAAATATTCTATAATAAAGTTTTTAATTTAAAAATAAATAAGTCAGGTAATTGATTATAAGGACCTAGGACAGTCTGAAAGGAGCTCTGCTGGTGCAGTGCCTGAGGCATTTGACTGTTAACCAGAAGGTTGGTGGTTCAAACCCACCAGTAGCTCCTTGAAAGGATGATAGGGCAATCTACTTCCACTGGAAACCTAATGGGGGTTGCTATGATTCAAAATTGACTTGATAGCAGTGGGTTTTGTTGTTGTTGTTTTTTAGGACAGTCTGAAAGGCATTAGTTCAGAATGCTTACCTTTGTTAAAAAATAATCAAAATTCAGCAAAATTTGAACATAGGTTTATTCTGAGCAGTTATTTTATATGCATAGAGAGAGATCATTTTGATTCCAGAAAGAAAGCAAATGGCTCAAAAAAAAAAAAGCTAGATACAATGAGGCTTATAAAGAGAAGAAAAAACAGACCAAACTCACTGCCATCCAGTCAGATCCGACTCTTACTCCTTCGGTTTCCCAGGTGGTATCTCTCCAGAGGGAGCTCTGGTAGCATAGTG